TCATGAATAACCAAGGTAACAAGGCAGCTCAGGAAGAAGACAAGAAATCCAAAAGAAAAGGAAGGAATATTGTAAAAGAAAAAAATGTAAATACAACATACCAAATCTTATGAGATGTATCAAAACCAGTTCTAAGAGGGAGTTTATAGCAATAAATTCTTACATTAAGAAAAAAGAAAGATCTTAAATATACAACCTAACTTTACACCTCTAAGCCCAGAGTTAATAGAAAGAAGGAAATAGGAAAAATGAGAGCAGAGATAAATACAGCAGAGTCAATAGAAAAGATCAATGAGACTAAGAACAGGATTTCAAAAAAAGATAAATAAAGCTGACAAGTCTTAAAGTTGACTCAAAAAGAAAAAAGAGAATTCAAATTTATTAAAAAATAGAAGTGAAGTTATGATTGATAACACAAATATAAACAATCATAAGAGATTCCATGAACATATATACATCAACAAATTGGACAACTCAAAGAAGTGGATAAATTCCTAGAAAAATACAGCCTACCAACATTGAATCATGAAGACAGAAAATCTGAACAGACCAATGTACTGGTAAGGAAATTTAATCAGTAATCAAAAAAACTTCCAACAAAAATTAGTCCAAGATCAGATAGCTTCACTGGTGAATTCTGCAGATACATTTAAAAAGTTAATGCCAATACTCTCAAACTCTTCCCAAAAAATTGAAGAGGAGAAAACACTTACAATATCACATTACGAGGTCAGCATTCCCCTGATACAAAATCAGACAAGGACACTAGAAAAAAGTAAACTACAGGCCACTATCCCAGAAAAACATACATGCACAAATCATTAACAAAATATTACCAAACAAATTCAGCAATACATAAAAAAGATAATACATCATGATCAAGTGGCATTTATTCCAGGGATCCAAGGATGGTTCCCTGGAATAATGTGCATTGATGGTGCACATTAATCAATGTTATACACTATATTAACAAAATGAAAGATAAAAATCTATAGAGGCAGAAAGAGCATTGACAAAATTCAATATATTTTCATAATAAAAACTCTCAAAAAACTGGGCATAGAGAAAATAAACCCACAGGTAACATCATATTCAAAGGTGAAACACTGAAAGTTTTCACTCTAAGATCAGGAACAAGAAAAAGATGCTCACTTGCACAATATTCAACACAATATTGGATGTCCTAGTCAGAGCAATTACACAAGAAAAAGAAATAAAAAGTATCTAAATCAGAAAGGAAGAATTAAGATTGTCCTTATTTGCAGATGATATCATATATAGAAAACCCTAAAGGCTCCACCAAAAAATAAAAAGACTGTTAGACCTCATCAACAAATTTGGTAAAGCTGCAGAATATAAAATGAATACACAAAAATCACTTGCATTTCTATACACTGACATCAAAATGTCAAAAAGAGAAATTAAGAAAACAATGCATTTACAACATCATCAAAAACAAGTACTTAGGAATAAATTTAACCAAAGAGGTAAAATATCTGAACACTGAAAACTATAAGACATTGATAAAAGAAACTGAAGAAGACAAATAAATGAAAAGAAATTCTGTGCTCATGGACTGGAAGAGTTAATGTTATTACAATGTTCATACTACCCAAAGCAATCTACAGATTCAATGCTATCCCTATCAAAATTCCAGTGGTATTCTTCTCAGAAATAGAAAAAAATCCTAAAATTTGTATGGAACCACAAAAGACCCGAATAACCAAAGCAACCATGAGAAAAAAAAACAAAGTCAGAAGCATCACTGATTTACTAATTTCAACCTCTATTATGAAGCTATAATAATCAAAACAATGTGGTATTGGCATAAACACACATATATATTCATATATGGCCAATTAATTTTTGACAAAAGAGTCAAGAATATAAAATGAGGAAAGGACGCCCAGCAGGGCATGGCTCAATGGTTGAGCATCGACCTAGGAGATCTGGGCTCGATTCCCAGTCAGGGCACATGCCCGGGTTATGGGCTGCAGCCAATCAATGACTCTATCATTACTGATGTTTCTCTCTCTCTCTCTCTCCCTCTCCCTTCCTCTCTCTGAAATCAATAAAGATATATTTAAAAAAATAAAAATAAATAAATAAATAAAAATAAAATAAAATGAGGAAAGGATAGTTTCTCAATAAATGGTGTTTGGAAAACTTGCAGCCACATGCAGAAAAATGAACCTGGGCACCTATCTTAAACCAGACACAAAAATCAACTCAAAATGGTAAAGACCTGAACATAAGATCTAAAACCATAAATCTCCTAGAAGAATACATGGTAAGTTCCTTGACATTGGGCTTGGCAATGTACCCATCTATTATATTATCACATTGTTCACTTTAAATATCTTAGAAGTTTTTTTGGTCAATTATACCTCAATAAAGCTGAAAAAAATCCAATCCTGCCATAACTAAACCAGGATGACTTGACATTACTGCATGAAACAGAACCAGAGGTTGAAAGAGTAGTGGCTTACGTGTATATGTGCTTTATTTTTCAAAAATATTTTCTGCCTATCTCCTTATACTGCCAAAGTATCCCTTAAGAAGGGAAGGCCCCAAACCCTCGTTTGCAGAATCAGGAAGACATTAGCTGACAGTGGTTCTCCATCCACCACCCCTCCCACACCCTTAGGAGGCTGGTTGACCTTCCCAGGCTTCATAACTTAGGCTCCTTCATCCCCAGCTTCCAGCTTCCACTTGGATTTAGCCAATAGAGGAGATCAGTGGGCACAGGAGGTGAAAGAGAGCCCCCAGTGTACTTATCTCCCCCATCCCCAACCTGCCCCATCCTGCTGCTCTGGCAATGGGTGAATTCTTCCAACAACACAGCAGCCCTGGAGGGTAGCCCCTCTTCCAGTGCTCCAATTCTCTCCCCCTACCCTCAAGTTCTAGTACCACAGACCTTTCCCTGCCCCTTCAGACCAGGGTGGGTGGGGATGGCTCCCCAATGTCGCTCTTTCTTGGGTGCCCCACCATCACTTGCTGATTCCCTGAATCCTACTCACTGTTCTATAGAGTCCCCTCAAGAATTCTTTTCATTTCTTCCATCCCTCCTGTTGAGATCCTAACTGATATGCTTACCCACCAAAATCTCACAGTAAATTAATGGTACCATCAGGATTAAATATTTTCCTTAGCTTAAATTATGCCTCTCTTTCAATCTGCCTCTCCCACATGCAGATTGTAAAATGAAGCTCTTTAGAGCATGTCAGCAATAATTTTGTGATTTCCACTAACCCAGTGGCTCCCAACTGACATTTCTGATTGTCATGATGTGGAGAAGGGGGAGTATGCCAGAAATGTTGCTAAATATCCTATAATGCATAGGACAACTCCCCAAAACAAAGAGTTATCCACCCCAAATATCAATAGTGCCAAGGTTGAGAAAAGCTGGGTTTTTCATCTTGCAGAACAAACCACAGCCATGACAGACCTTCCTCCTCTTTCCTCCTCTCTAAAATGCTCTCAAAGATGCCTATAATAATTGCCCCAAAGCTCTAAAGCCAGGCCACGGGCAGAAGTATGGAGAAGGAATAGGGAGAGAGTGACTTTCTCAGAGGAGGCCGGGTGCTGGCCTAAGAGGTCTAAGGTTAAAGGTAAAGCGACCCTTGCCCCCAGACTGGATTTCCCTTCCATGGAGGAAGTTGGATACTTTAGGGCCTGTCAAGGCAAATGAAAAGACTACGTGGGACAAAAGTCTGGAAATATATACATAAAAATATTGAGTAATTATGTCTTTGAATGGTAAAATTTTTAGTGATTTAATTTTTTTGCATATTTGTGTATTTTAAATTTTGCTCTACAAGTTAGTTAACATTTGTATAAATAATTAAAATTCTAAAAAATGTTATAAATTATGCCATATAATTGACTCCATCCCTCCCAGCCCCAATTCATCAACTGAATAGACTTTCACATGGCAATATACCAGGGTGCTCTAACAATGAAACACACAGAAAATTGTCCTTACAGATGATTATCAGGAAAGGCTCTGCTTCCTTCTACTTGAGGGATGAATGAAGTATGATTTACTTTCAAATGATAACTATGCAATTGACCAAGTTCCTAGAGACAAATTTGAGACTCAGCAACAAACAATATAGACCTGCACTGTCCTATAAGGTAGCCACTAGAGATGTGATATTTAAATGTAAGTTAATTAAATATAAAACATTTTCCTTATCACAGAAAGTTCTATTGGAGAGCACTGATACACTTTCATTCCCCCTACCCCAATTACCTTCTGTTCTTACACTGTCTCTGCTCCCAATATCCAGATATATTTATGTTTGTTACTATTCTATGTAGTTTTGTTGTAAACTACCTTAATTCCTTTGTAGAACACTTCAGGGTATCAGTAATTTGAATTATCTGTGTATAAAAGCCCTATTGTTGCTGGGAGATCAGTCTTAAGTTTTTAATAGGGTGCACTTAATTCATGTAAACGCTCACAACAACGTCTATAAAATAGGTAATATTTTCCAGTTTCCGAAGAGAAAAGTTCCGCCAGGAGAGGTTAGTGTCTTGCGCAGGGCTGATTATCAAAGTAGCAGAATTCCAACTCCCTGGTATGTCCTCAGATTCCTGGGCCCAGCCCACACCCTAAACTGGACATGTCTGCATAGAAGAACCACTCTCTCAAACCCAACCACGTAACTAGTTAGGCCATACAAGGACGCAGCAGCAGAGTTATATCTACATAAGAACTGAAACCATAAACATTTTGTAAAATGAAATATAGATTTAATTTTTAAAATAGTTTTTCTTTTGTTTACTATAGAAAGCACCTCTCTGGGGGAGTATGTCCTCAACCCTGGAAGCCAGGCCGGCGCCAGGTATGCGGCCCCAAAACCGCATTAGAGGCTCCAGGCCGAGGCCCAGCCCCTTCCTGGCACTGCCGGTCTCCCGCTGGCATTGTTTTCATGCTCCTGCGGGACGGTTTTGTAAAGCCACAGACGACTCCCACTCCCCAGCAAGTGCCTTACCTGGAGCTGGGCTCAAAGCTCAAGCTTCTCCAGCAGCCTCCAAGTTCCGCCACCGCACTGCGAACAAGCCGGGAGCCGACTGGGATTGGCCGCTGGGTGAGGAGGTGGGGCTCCGGGCGGGAGGAAGAGAAAGCAAGGAACCTGAGAGGAAGGGATCATGCCAGCGCCCTGCTCAGGGCTGTGAGCATGCTCTATGTGCATACCAGGGCCTTGGTTGTAGCTGTTCTGTGCGCCTTGCTTGGCAGCAGTAAGGGCAGTGGACGTGTTAAACAAAATTTTAAGTCCCAGGGCTGAATTTAAAAGAAAGGATTATGCCATTGCTAGAAAAACAAAGAGGACCCGTCCTGGGTCATGGAGTCTAAAACACCTGCAGCATGGCTAGGTAGAAAAGACATGTCCAAGATGCAGAAGTTTTGCAAGCATTTTTATACATCAAGTAGAGGGAAGAAAGATGTAAGCCGTTCTGAAAGAATTTACACTAGCTATAGGCAAAAAGGACAGGAGAGGATGAAGCAGGGCTAGTTCTGGGCAGAGTATACGGCACAGTCCACAGCACAGTGGGCCAAGCTCATGTGTAAAGACGAAGCCAAAGCTCCTGGAGTTGGAAGATGCCTGGCTATTCTCTTTTGGATAATCACAGACATAGCCATCTGGAAATTACCCCTAAATTCCAATAGATATATATGAGTATGAAAGACTTGTCAGAGCTGGCTCACAGCTATTAACAGGCTAACAGTTCTGTCTCTCAGCCTCCAGCTCCTGTAATTTTAATCTAGAACATCTTAGAATTTTTTTCTCATCAGGCATTTGCCAACTGGAAAGGAGGGGTAGTCCCTAGGCCCACATTCTGGGGCCTTTGGGGTGTCAAGGATCCTCACAGTGTGCTCTCCCAGGAGTGGGGTGCATTGCAGCCCTCTACTCTGACCCACTCCAACCACATGGAAACCGTTGGATACTTTTTGGGTTAGTAGCCAGAGATCCCCACTGAACAGTTGGTGAAGATGATTTTGGGAGTTTTATGTGTGTGTTTTCTTTGTGTGTTTGTGTGTGTGTATATGGTAAAATACACATAAAACTTACCCTTTTAGTCATTTCTGAGTGTTTAGTTCAGTGGTATCAAATACATTCACATTATTGTGAAAAAAATCCTTGTCCATCCTCATAACCCTTTTCATCTTGTAAAACTGAAATTATTTAAACAGTTTCATTGGACAATAACCCCATCATTCTGTGCCTCTAGCCCCTGACAAACCATTATACTTTCCATCTTTATGTTCTGACGGCTCTAAGTACCTCATAAAAGTGAAATCATACAGTATTTGTCTTTTTGTGATTTAGCATAAGTCCTCATTCATGTTGTAAAGAATTGCAAAGTGTTCTTCCTTTCTAAGGCTGAACAATATTCTATTGCATGTATATCCACATTTTGTTTATCCTTCCACAGTTTAGTGACTGTGAATAATGCTGCCATGAACATGGGCAAACAAATATCTCTTCATGAGACCCTGATTTCATTCCTTTTGGGTTATATTTAGAAGTGCAATGCTGAATCAATGGTAATTCCATTTTTAATTATTAGAGGAACCACCATACTGTATTCCATAGTGACTGTACCATTTTACATTTCTACCCATACTGCACAAAGTTTCCAGTTTTTCCACATTCTAGCAAATTAATACTCTTATTTTTTAATCATTTTTTATTTTCAATTACAGTTGACATAGATTATTATATTAGTTTCAGGTGTACACCCCAGTGATTAGACATTACATAACTTATGAAGGGATCATCCCAATAAATCTTGCACCTCTCACAATACATCGTTATAAGAATATTATTGGCTATGTTCCCTGTGCTGTACTTTACATGCCCACAACTATTCTGTAACAACCAATTTGTATTTCTTAATCCCTTCAAGTTGTTTACCCATTCCACCAAATCCTCTCCCATCTGGAAACTGTGAAAATATTCTCTGGATCTGTGAGTCTGTTTCTGTTCTGCCTGCTTATTTAATTTTGTTTCTTAGACTCAATTGTTGATAGATATGTATTTATTGCCATTTTATTGTTCATATTTTTTATCTTTATCTCTTCTCCTTCTTAAAGAAAATCCTTTAACATTTCATATAATACTGGTTTGGTGCTGATGAACTCCTTCAGCTTTTTCTTCTCTGGGAAGCTCTTTATCTGTCCTATTCTAAATTACAGTTTTGCTGACTTGAGTAATCTTGGTTGTAGTTCTTTGCTTTTCATAACTTTAAATATTTCTTGCCATTCCCTTCTGGCCTGCAAAGTTTCTGTTGAGAAATCAGCTGATCGTCCTACGGGAGCTCCTTGTAGGTTACTAACTGCTTTTTCTCTTCCTGCTTTTAAGATTTTCTCTTTCTCTTGTTTGGGGGGCAGGGAGTGTTTTGTTTTTGTTTGTTTTCTTAAATTTATTTTTATTGTTGAAAGTATTACAGATACTTTGATCCCCTCTACCCTGCATCGGCCTCCACCCCCAGGCCTTCACCACACTACTGTCTGTGTCCACAGGTTATGCATATAAGTCCTTTGATTAATCTCTCCCTACCCACTCCCCCACCCCCACCTTCCCACTAAGATTCATTAGTATGTCCCATGCTTCTATGTCTCTGGATCTAATTTGTTCCCCAGTCTATTTTGTTTATTAGATTCCACATATGAATGAGAACAGGTAAAACTGAATCAAGAAGTATCAGAAAACCTGAATAGGCTAATAACAACTGGTGAAAGCAAAGCATTAATAAAAAAAACTCCCAGCAAGCAAAAGCCTTGGTCTGGATGGCTTCACAAGGGAGCTTTCTAATTCTTAACATTATAGGGTTAGATAGTTTACTAAAAATGTTTCTTACTTTTTGAGGTAGGCCTACAGTGCTATGAACTTCCCTTTTAGTACTGCTTTCACTGTGTCCAATAGATTTTGGGTGGTTGTGTGTTCCTTTTCAATTGTTTCCAGGAAGTTTTTTATTTCTTTCTTGATCTTATTAGTAACTCATTCATTGTTTAATAACATTTTATTTAGCCTCCATATGTTTGAGTGTTTTTGAGTGTTTTTACTGTAGTTGATTTCTAATTTCATGCCCTTGTGATCCGAGATGTTTGATATAATTTCAGTTTTCTTAAACCTTAGAGACTGGTTTTGTGTCCTAACATGTGGTCTATCTTTGTGAATGATCCATGTGCACTTGAGAGGAATGTATATTCTGCAGCTTTGTGGTGAAATGTTCTATAAATATCAATTAAATACATCTGATCTAGTGGTCATTTAGTCACTGTATATGTGTTGACTTTTTGTCTGCAAAATCTATCCAGAGTGTAGGAAAAGGCCAGCAAACAACAAACAGACTGAAGGAGTTGGGTAGCAAGCTTCCCCAGAATCACAGAAATCCCCTTGAAAACGAGGGAGACATTTCTGACCGGAACTGAAAACAGATCCTTATCGATCTGGGAAGCTTGCCCCCAGGAGGGTTATGGCCTTAAGAACAAATGTGAAACATTAGCATAAAACAAAGCCATTTGTTTATGCGCATTTTATAGTTTCTACTGATCACTATCTTTCACACCTGCCTTTCTGTAACTCACAATAAAAATCGCTGGATGGTAAGGAGGGTTGTTACAGCGCCTCCAGAGCCTCAACCCTCTGCATCTCCACCTAAATTCTACATTCTCTGTGTCTTGAGTTTTCTTCGCGTCCCGCGAGCACACCACCAGAGAAGTCAGTGGAGTGTTAAAGTCCATGACTACAACGGTATTGCTCTTGATCTCTCCCTTAAAGTCCTTAAGGTTATTATTGATAGGTCCTTATTTATTGCCATTTGAATTCTTTATGGCTATGTTTCTCTCTATATTTCTTATTATTGTAGCAGTCCTTTTAACATGTCTTGCAATGCTTCTTATTTCTACTTCTAATTATAGCAGTCCCTTTAACATTTCCTGCAATGCTGGTTTGGTGGTAATAAACTCCTTTAGCCTTTTTCTGTCTGGGAAGCTCTCTATTTCACCATCTATTCTGAATCATAGTCTTGCTGGATAGAGTAGTCTTAGTTTCAGATCCTTGTTCTATATTACCTTGAATACTTCATGCCATTCCCTTCTGGCCTGTAGAGTTTCTGATGAGAAATCAGCTGACAGCTTATGGGAGCTCCTTTGTAGGTAACAGATGGCTTTCTCTTGCTGCCTTTAAGATTCTATCTTTGTCTTGAATTTTTGGCATTTTAATTATGGTGTGTCTGGGCGTGGGATTCTTTGGATTCTTCTTGCTGGGGACTCTGTGCCTCCTGAACTTGTGTGACTTTTTCCTTCACCAGGTTAGGGAAGTTTTCTGCCATTATTTCTTCAGACAGGTTTTCTAACCCTTGCTTACTTTCTACCTCCTCTGGCACTCCTATGATGCAAATATTGTTATGTTTCATGTTGTCCCACAGCTCCCTTACACTGTCCTGTTTTTTTATTGTTTTTTCTTTGTGGATCTCTGATTGAATGATTTTTTTCTACCTTGTCTTTTAATTCGTTGATCTGATCCTCAGCTTCCTCTGATCTGCTATTTATTCCTTCCAATGTATTCTTTATCTGCAATGTCATTCTTAATTTCCTTCATAGTTTCCATACCTTTTTTAATACTGTTGAGCATCAGTATTCTGAACTCTATATTTGATAGATTGTTTATCTCCATTTCATTTAGCTCTTATTCTTTCATTTGGGGCTTGTTTTTTTTGTCTCCCCATTTTGGCTGTCTATTTGGGTTTGTTTCTATGTATTAGGTAGATCTGCTAGCACTCTCAGTCCTTTTGTAGGGTCTCTGGTTCAGGCCAATGTCAGACACAGTTTGTGACTGGCCCTGAGTATCCTGTTTGGAGTTATCAACAACCCTCAACTTGAGGTCTCCTTCTCTGGGGCTGGGTGCAGTTCGACAGGACCAAGATGCACACCAAAGTCTGCTTTTCAAAGACCCAGGTCCAGAAGCAGATCAGGCCAAGACTCAAGGCACTCTGAGGTCTGCCTCTGCTTGCAGGCTGATTAATCTGATTCTCTTAATGAGCCTCAGGCTATA